TACGTGGAGGGCATTTTACATTGAATTGGGCTACTGGGCAGTGGGCTGGGGATTGGGTTATTGGGTTAAGGTTTAGTTAATATTAATTGGGCCAGCATTTTGGGAAGCCCAAAAAAAAAATTGCCCAGTTAATTTTGAGAAATAAAAATGGAAAGCCAAATTGTCCAAATTTTTTTTTTTAACGGGTAATCGGTTCGGTTCGGTTCGGTTCGGTTCAGTTCAGTACACCATAGCTAAATATCATACCCGCCCCTAAATGAAGTGGTTCGTTAAAATCAAAATCAGAACCGCCCCATTACACCATCGGTTCGATTTTTTTGGTCCCATTCGGTTCGGTTAATCGCAATTTTCGGTTTTCACAGTTCGAATTGCCATCCCTATAAAGGAACACAACAAAATATTCTATATTAAGAAATATGCTTATATATTTGGGACAAAAGAAAAATGAAACTCAGTCTATATAATTAGGACGAATGGGGTAATAATTAATTAAATGGTCAAAAAATTGGACAATAAATCTCAACTCCTTTGCACAAAGCAAGAGAAAACTCATAATTAATTGGCCATATAGATATGTGTTTTTCTTGGGTTTTGGGGATTTGTTCTTTGGTTTCGAAGGAACAAAATATGCATAGAGAAGATGGCACAGGCCAGCCGGCAGTAACATTTATGGGCTAAGTAGAGCAGAACTGCAGGCTGGGCTAGGCTCATTAGTTCCAACTACATGATTAAATTTCGGAAATATTCTTAATGCATAGTTTCAAAATATTATATTTCATGTTTTCATATGTAATGTTCAAAGGATAATGCTAAGTGTACATAAAAATTGATCATAATAGTGTCCATACATTCACATGGGATAGGGGCACTAATATTTTAAATATGTACTATATTAAAAATTACTAATTTCTAATAATAGAACCTAAATGACAATTTATAATTGAAATGTTTTAAATAATGCACACTTCACGTCTCGCATTTAATGTCTCTTCCAAAAAAGGAAAATCAATTCAAGAAATTGAGAATGGATAAAGAATATCAATGGTTTCCGTTGCTTAACCAAACTGTATTTTCTTCACTCAACTAAACAGAGAAATCACGAAATCTGCATAAAAAAATTCAATTTCACAAGCCGAAATTTTACTATAAAAAATGTGTCCGAAGCTGAATATGTTGTAAGTTGTATTTCATTCATAGATTTGGCGAAATTTCAAATTTGATTATTTATATAAAATGTTATTGAATCAATATAAAAACATTAAATCAAAATGTGTCATTTGTTTAAAAAAATTTTTTTTTCCAGAATCCAAAAAAAAGTATTAAAAATCTTTTCAGACTTGGAACTGTTGGCTGGGTCTTGGTGTCATTTGTACATACTAGTCAGAGTGAACGTGCGTTGCACGTTATTTATAAGTATAGTGAATGTAATATATGACCATTCATTTACCATTTTGATCTAAATATAAGAGAAATGCAAGTCCCTGAAAATATATGTTAATTATTATACATGCACGTAAATAGTAAGATGCATACTTTAATGTAACTATTAAAATTATAATTAAATGTATAAATGAAGATAAATGACAAATACGATACATAAATTAATGTGAATATTAATTAATTTAGAATTAATATCAATGAATATATACATCACAATAAATGTTAAATAATTTATATTAAATGAATATAATTTAATTTCCAATTAAGTGAAAATGATGCTAATTAGCACACATGAACGTGAATAATAAACTGCATTATCGAATTTGAAATTTTAGTTAATATTAATTAAATGAATGTTAATATTAATATTAATTCATTGAGAATTAATAACAGGGCATGGACCTGAATGTGAAAGTGAAATTCTAATTAATATAAATTAATGAATGTGGATTCTAATTAATTGAGAATTAATGATAATATTTATTATATTTGTAAATTTATAATCGTCCAAAAAATGATTCTCACTTAATAATGTCATATTTAATTTATTATAGATTGGGTCTGTACTTAATCAGAGAAACCTGCCTGATTGCATCCTCATGTTCGGGTATAAAGCACAAAGTACTTCTCCGGCTGGAGAGATGAAACTATACAAACACAGAACACAAATGAAACTATACAAACACAGAACACAACAAGAGCCTTTAAAGTATAAAAATTCAACCATGAAAGCTAACATCATATAATCTGGAATGCAATATTGAGAACAAAATGATGTTTAATTATTTGAACTTTCTACAGCAAATAATTCAATCGAATAATTCAAATAATTGGAGAATATATGAAACCTGTGGTTGAAATTAACAAATACCAACAGCCCATAGAAAGGAAGAAAAATGAGTTCGAAAGATCAAATCTTTAATCTTTAGCAATTCAGACATTGGTTGAGAGATGCTAATCTCAAATTACATGTCCTCTTTCCTTGGGGAGTTGTGCGGTGGCGATAAATCATCCCACCAATCAGCATAAATTCGATTAATCTGCCTGTTTAGTTTCCACTTCGATATCTCCGCATCTTTGTTAGCAGGAGCACCAATCACTGCAGTTGCAGGGGATGAATTAATTACAGGCACAGGGAGAGGCTTTGCTGGAATTTGGGAGCCAGAATTCATTATCAGCTCTGTCTCAACACGAGCACCAGGTAACTGCAAATCTGCAGAAAAATCGTGCATATATTGAAAGTTTTACGTGAAATGCGCAGATATTTCAGAAGTTCTTATGAAAAGAATAAAAAGAAAAAATCCATTTTGGATGAATCTTAAAGATATGATTCAAATATGGCACTATGACTACATACAAGTGTCATTTCGACATGAAATATCTTATTCGCATGTTACTAAGTGGCCAGTGAGATTTTAGTTGTGCTATCTGGACCGACAAAATTTGTAGTAATGAGAACCATCTTTTTCTTGTCGATGCCATAAAAACGATGTTTTTCAACATGATAATCAACATGATATGGTTGTGGCAAATACTTATTGTATTGAATTTACATCAAATAATTGATAAATTGAGCTTATGAGAGGCTAAATATACCTGACGGGCCATGAGCGAAATGACATCTTTCTCCAAAGGGGCATTGGCCGATCTCCCATTTGCTACATAGTTTTGTTTTCCAAAAAGCAGTATTTGCTTGGGAAGTGCTGGAATTGACGTTGACGTTCTTAACATAATCAGTCTGATCATAATCACTTCTTCTTACCAATGCAGGCCCTGTAGTTCCAATACTTATGGCAACACTTTCCCTATGTTCCCTTGACATGTCAGTCTGAAATTTCATGGGCTGTTCATGAAGGAAGTTGCATTTTTCCCCATATGGGCACTCTTCACCATTGTAAAACTTCTTGCAAATTTTCATCCTATGTATAATTCTTTGATCATCATTGAAATTTCCGACCCCTCTCTCCTTTTCTCGAACAAGTTCTTGCCAATTCGGAGGGGGTTCCCGTAAATCTTCAATGCCAT